GGGAAGACTGAGGGATAGAACGTGGGAACGTCACCTTTACCTAGATCCACTAGACAGAGGTAAATATTCTACTGGGCATGCTTTTCTTAGAATCTTTTAGAGGCAGGAGTTCAAGCTTTCTTTAGCATTTAAGGAAACCTGGTACTGAGGAAGAAATGACCATGGCATCTGTTCACTCACTGAGACCTTGGAGACCCACTGATGCTCACTGGGATGCCTACCCCTGCCGTGCTTTGTAAACTCTGGTCCTTGTCTAATCATGGCATAGCCTCTGCAGAATCTTCAGTGGTTCATTAGTGGACTTACCCATAGTGTTTCTGGAGAGGCCAGAGTAGAATTGGAAGAGACATCTCACTCATGTCATTCTTTCTTCAAGGTCAAAGTGTTGCCTCCTAGATAACATGTTAGTTATATTATCTAATGGGTACAAACTTATGCAAAAGCTTATACTATACAATTCTGTTCAATGCATCAAGGGAAGCAGGAAAGTTAGTTGTATAATGGTCACAGAAAATTAAGCACCAACATTAGCAGAGCTTTTGCAAAAACGGGACTTTTATTCTGGCTGCGCTACACTTGCATGGAGATAAGGAACATTTGGCTGGATGACTGCTAAGAATGAACACTATCAGTTCATTCAAGTAGGTCAAGGTAAGCAAATGTGATTTTTTTCACATGCTATAATTACCAAGGATAATTCAGTTAGCTTTAGTGTTGCATGTATCTGGGCCATAAAATTATGTAATAAGCAATCATTCATTGCAGGTGATTAAAAAGGGACGGTCTCTAGGTAGATTAAAAAGGAAAGATACAGAGTGAAGCATCTTGATCTCCTTACTTATTATATCCACTCTCATAATTACGAGGGGTGCAACCTTATAGCTTGCTGTTAAAGAGACAGTGCCACCAAAATTCAGCAGACAGCACTGGTACTGCTGTGGGCTCTCCAGCGTCGGGGAGTTGCTTCTTAGGCTTCCACAGTGAGGCCTTGGGAGAATAATGCTCTGAGCCTTAGTGTGCTTATTTGAAAACTGGGATATAGCCCTTAAATTAATTTCTGGTGATCAAATGCTATAACATATGGACCGTCTCCTTAGACTGATGAATAGCACAGCAAGACAGCAATAGAGTTGGAGAGGACACCATGAGGTCTAGTTTTCTTCTGGAAGCTAATTGGATGTTTTGTAAAATATTCCCCCCACCAATGGCTGTTGTTCTACAGTAATGTTATTAAGGGAAAGGGAACCTTAGAGTATAGCATGAACGAGGAATATGCTGAGGGTTACTTCAGATGGATTTCCCCCTGTTTTTTATTTTAAATTTTTTATTTTACATACCAACCACAGTTTCCCCTTCATCCTCACCTCCCATTTCCTCCCCCAACTTCTTTTCTATTGGCTCTCTCCCTAGTCCACTTCTCAGGAAGTGTAAGGCCTCCTATGAGGAGGCAGTGGCCTGGCATATCATTGAAGTAGGACCAAGTTCCTCCCCTTTGCATCAAGGTTGAGCAATACATCCCACCATAGGGAGTGGGTTCCAAAAAGCCAGCTAATAGGCCTGGGACAGATCCTGGTCCCACTGCTAGGGGCCCCACAAATGGACCAAGTTACACAACTGTCACCCACATGCAAAAGACCTAGGTCTGTCCCATGCAGGCTCCCTAGCTGTCAGTCTAGAGTCCCATGAACCCAGGTCAGCTTCCTCTGGGTTTCCCCATCATGATCTTGACACCGCCTACCCCACCCCTACCCACTTATAGCATCCCTCCTCCCTCTCTTTGACTAGAGTCTTGGAGCTCAACCCGATGCTTGACTGTGGATCTCTGCACCAGATGGATTTGGTAAAGAGATAGAAAAAGTTGGCAGTGACAGCTTCATAGCTAAGAAGACAAAGAGCTGAAGGGTTGGGTTGGTCGGTAAGGCATTTGCTGCCCATGTATAAGGGTTTGAGTTCGAATCCCTAACACCTATAAAAACCCAGGTATGTCTGCACACCTGTGACCCCAGTACTGGGTGGGGTGGGGTGTTCAGGAGGATAGTTGGGCTTGCTAGCTACCAGCTTAGCTCTAGGTTCAATGGGGGAGCCTCTCTCAAATGGCAAAGAGTGATAGGGCAGGACTTCTGATTCCTTCTCTGGTTTCCAAGAGCAAATGCAGAGGTGTGAGGTGTGCAAACAACTCCCATTCACCATTCACACAAACACTATACTAATACAAACATCACACTCACACATATGGCCTCTCCAACCCCTCCCCCCACCACATAGCTTCTCCTCCCATAAATAAATTCTAAAAAGAGGAAGAGGGAATATATTCTCTTTCGGATCCAAAGGAGAATGCATGGCTGGAAGTGGAAGTCTGGGGCTACAGAGTTGAGACCAGGATGTGTAAGGATGCAGGTTACAGTTTGTTGAGGGGATATTGAAAGGAGAAACCAACAGGGAGGTAGAGAGGGGAGGTGTTCTCCCTGATGGACTCTGTAGTTCTTGATCTCATAAGTTTCATGCATTATCACCACATTATTCTGGATAGATTTGTGATTTGAGAAGTACTAAATGTCCAAATGCAACACCACCACTCATGTACTTCAGAGTAATGCAGGTTTTTCTTAAACTGCTAGCCCTCCAAATCATGGCACGGATACTTATTATTAATTATGAATGCTTGACCTTATCTTATGCCAGTCTTAATAGTTCTTATAACTTAAATTGATCTGTTCCTCTTCATCTATGTTTTGCCTTGGGTCTATTTACCTTTCTTTCATTCTGTATGTCCTACTCCTTGTCTGACTGGCTATTGGCTGCCTGACTGGCCCCGGGTGTCTCCCTGTTTTCATTCCTCATATTCTGCTCTCAGTCTCTCAAGAATAAACCCCTCCTACTACTTATTCCCTCTGCCCTCTAGCCCTGCCTATCCCTTTTCTGCCTAGTTATTGGCCATTCAGCTTTTTATCAGACCAATCAGGAGCCTTAGGCAGGCAAGATGAAACAACAATACATCTTTATATAATTAAACAAATACAGCATAAACAGATGTAACACATCTCTACATAGTTTAAGTAATATTTTGCAACATAAACTAAAGTAAGCATCATTGCCTAGTTAAAGTATTCCACAGCAGAGTAAAATATATAAAGATTACAAATATTTTGAGTGACAAATTGAATTTTTGATGGAAAACTATTTCTTCAATAATTTTGGTTGTTATAATGTCAAAAAGAAACCAAATACAGATATGTGTTAGTTCACTCTAACGAGGCTAAAGATACTTAAAACTCTCATGGAGAATTATTAAACATTTTCTTAATAATACAATTTTATTGGCACAAATGAAACAATCCTACACATGTAAAAATAATCCATCACTCACCTTCGTTATTATCTTGGTATGAAAAGAATGATGTGTATCCATCTGTCTAAGGAATACCTTAACTCATGGATAAGAAAAACACTTTAAAAATACAAAACCAGGGAATCCCCAAAGTGCTTCAGACATTTCACTCTTAAAGACAACCCAAAGTGAAATGAATCAGGATAGGAGAATCCGGATTGAAGGCTTAGGGGGAGAGTTTAAGGGAGGTCACCAGAAGGCATTAGGAAAAGCATATTCGCAAGATATTTCTAGAGCAAACACATTTGCAGGATCCTAGATGCTAACTAGACTTCTTCCCTTAACATTCCCATTTCCTTAATCAAGTTTGACAAAGAAAGCTGTATGATGGCATTTCAATCATTGATCATCACAGAACGTTAGCTCTTATCAGCAGAGAGTATCTAATAGGTATCTATGAGGAGAGTAAAGAAATCAAAAGAAAGGGACATGGTCCTACTATCGGAGTATAGAAAGTCAAGGAAGTGGGGTTAGGCAAACAGCAAGAGAAAGAGTGGAATAAATCCAGAACCCTGTATGCTTGCTGTATATGGTTTTCTCTCTGTGGGAGGCTAAGGGAAGGGTGAATAGAACAGATGGACTTCATTTGGATGACCTGGGCCTGAAGAGGTGGTGTTTATGCTTCTGTCTGGTGAGTGTGGCACAGAGAAGGGATGGTTTAGAATCTGCAACATGAAATACATTGGAGGCATAATTCTACTACTCCAAGGTTATTTGATTTCATTCTTTTTAGGGGTGAGGTTTTCTTGACATGTAGTGCATTGTCTAAATTGTGAAATGATAAGCTAATACGATCATATATATATACAGCATATGTGAGAATTGAAGGAAACAATCTATTTGTTTGTCTATATCCATCCATCTACCTATCACCCATTCATCCATTTAAATACATGCTTGTATATATGTATCTTTGCATACACATGTGTATCCTTGGGTACAACAGGTACATCTCCCATCTAAGTGTTTTGTAAAGACATGTGGTAATAATTGCATTATAACTGAGATTTTCTGAATGTAGGCTATATTCTTGTGGTCTTTTAATTCACCTCAAAAGCAGCGGAATGTCTTTACTCATTTTCTAGAGAGGCACAGCACCATAGTTCATTCTGGTTTTAAGTTTAGCCAAGTTCAGATTCTATTCTTGAAGCTCCCCCATTCCCATTGGGCTTTATCTTTAGCATCTACCTGAGGTGCCCCAAGGTAAGCATTAAACATTTATGCTCCAGTGATCATTTCTCAAACATGGGTAAATCCATACAAATCCAAGGCTGGCTTCAGGGAGTATGGGTTGGGGTTGTGGACCATCTGCATCAGTGGTTCTTAACCTGTAAGTCATAACCCTATGGGGTCACATATCAGATATTTTGCATATTGGATGTCTACATTGCAATTCTTAACAGTGACAAAATTACAGCTATGAAGTAGTAGTGAAATAATTTTATGGCTTGGGTCACCACAACACAGGGAAGTGTGTTAAAGGGTTGCAGCATTAGGATTGAGAACCACTGATCACCATTCTGCATCTGTGAATAGTACTGGGAAGCTGATGAAGACAGCCTGACCTTAGCAGACGTGCACACCTCAAAAATGTTGTTGTTCTCTCAAACAGAGCAGTTCCAGATTTACTAGTGCCCATGTTATGGATGGAGAGAGTCACAGTAATGATGGGGACTGTGACGAGAAATAGACACCTGTGTTCTGAGGCCGAGAAACCCCGCACCTGTCCTTCAGGGCTTCAGAAATAAGTGGCCAGCTTCAATATACTCTTTGAAATGCTGAAAAAAAAAACCCTTGTAGTGTATTCTTTGCATTTGTTCTTAAGTTTGAGACAATATATGGTCAGTGTTGACTGCAGCATTGATATTGAAGTTTAATCACAAGTACATAGCATGTGAAGTGTCCACTCTTTAGTCTTTATAGATGATTAAAGTGGTCCAAGAAGAAAAGCATGTCCTCAGCCACGGGAAGGTGCATCGTCCCCTAAGCTTCCTCTTCACTGTGATAGTAATAGAGCTTATGGATGCATTAATTACTGTGAACATGCCCTCGAAACCACCAACCACTTATTCTTGTAGATGGTTAGCATTTGGACCATTTATCTGGGAAACTTCTAAAAGAGTCCTCTGTCAAGTCAACCTGTACATAGCACTTGTAAGTACTCTCTATGAGAACATTCAGAAGATGCGTTAGCCTTTGAGTCCTTGGTTTCATCCCAGCTGTGTGCCGAACTGGAGAACGGTTTGTTGGCTGTCCTGGGAAAGGATGGATTAGCACTTTTCAACTTTGTCCGTTGAAGATTATTTTCTTTGGAAGGCACAGCTGCTGTTCAAGTACATTTTTTTAAATAAAGAAAATACATTGCACCAACATTCTGAGCCGTTGTTGTTTTGATGGCATTGTGTATTTTACAGCTAAAGAGTCAGCAATATTGTGCAGCTCTGACAGGACGAAAATAAAGGTACCTTACATTGAGGGAACCAGCCAAATTGCATGGTTTGGTAATTCTCCATTTGCCCATCTTGGTGATTTGTGTCAACTTCTCTAAAAGCATAGAGCTTAGGAAAAAGTGTTCAGTGGTCGGGAGTATTTCTTTTCCTCTTATGCTTATTCTTTTCCCCCCTTTATTGAAAATAGCTTTTCCCTCATATATAGTAATATAAAACTATATATCAAAATAGCATAAAACAAACAAATGAACAGAAGGAAAAGAGTGCAGGGAAAAGCACACGAAACAGTTATAGATGCAGAGACCTACTTGTTTGCACAGTTCCGTAAAAACCACTAAACCGGAAGCCGTAATATGTATGCAAAGGATCTGGAAGGTAAAAAGGAAGGAGAAGCAATAAAAGCAAAAATGGAAACTCAGATAATATTCAAAAATAGAAATAACAAAAACAAACAAACAAAAATAAATAAAAGCCCCTCAAGGGACCTCCACTGATGCCGCTGAGTTAGGTTCCCATTGGCCATCTAGATGACCTCAGTACACAATACAGTGAACTCCTTTCTCTAACCAGGCCACCTTCCTAATAGCTCATTTTATTCTCGTATGAACTGTTGATGATGCAAGCCCCCTGGTGATCCAATCACCTCCCAGCAGCACTAGCTGGGGACCAAACTGTCACCAGTCCCTTTGTAAGGGACACCATCTCCAATCTACAACAGAAGGTAAGAAGGAGTAGGCCAGAGATAAGAAGAGTTTCACTAGTGTATGAATTTCATTACTGCAAGAAGCAAAAATGCCAACTCAGACTGTGTTTAAAACTTCAATGGGGCTGGGCTGACAGTATTGCACAGTGACGGAATATTTATGTGGCACATGCAAAGTCCTAAACATAATTTCCAGCACTACAGAATAGTAGGAACAAGTTTTGTTATATTTTACTTTGATTGAAAATAGACTTTTTTCTCACATACTATGTCCTGATTGTGATTTTTCTCTCTGCTACTTCTAATTCCCCCACACTTCTCCTCCCAGCTGGATCCACTCCTTTTCTCTCTCCCGTTAGCAAACAAACAGGCTTCTAAGGGATAATATAATAAAATAAGATAAAAGCAAAAACTGACCCACTGAAATTAGACTAGACAAAGAAACAGAAGGAAAAAGAGACCAAAAGAAGGTACAAGAATCCAAGAACCACCCAGTCACACACTCAGAAATCCCATAGGAAAAGTAAATTGGAAGCCATAACACACACACACACACACACACATACACACACACACACACACACACCCATGTAGGGTAAAATGAGAGAAGGAAAATAAAAACATAAAAGTAAAAAAATAATAAGATTAAATTAAAAAACAATATGAAAAACCCTAACAAGCCTTGTGACACAAGGGACCTCCAAAAATGCCAATGAGTTAGTTTCCAACTGGCTATGGGGCATGTAGCCTACACTTAAGAGTGGTTTGTTTCCCCATGAGACTCCCTTGGATGAAACTAGATTGTCATTTGCAAGTGGTTCTCAATTCGGTTAGCCTTGGGTTAGGGATGGTATGTGTGCCCCCCCCTTTTTTTTCAGCTCCAGGGTTCCACCTGGGTGCAAACCTGTGCTGGCCCTGTGCTCTCTGCCTCAGTGTCTGCGAGTTCAAATGTGCACAGGTTATGTTGCTTTAGATGGCCTTGTTTTCTTGGTGTCTTCCATTCCCCGTGGAATGTAAATTCTTTATACCCCCTCAGCGTCTTCCTCCAGCAGGTGGGAACGCACAGGCAGATTACTGTGTAAAGAGAGAGAGACCACGGAACACTCAATCCTGAAGGAGATGTCTCTATGGGATCCCTCTTCTCAGGGCTCAGGGAATACCAAGAAAGCAGGGGCAGGGTGTAAGAGCCAGAGGAGATGAAGAACACCAAGCAAGCAAAGGCCTAGGGATCAACAGGATTAATACCCATATGAACTAAATCAGACTGAGGCAGCACGCACAGGGCCTGCACCGGCCTCACCAGGTCCCCTCCCTTATGGGCTGTAAGTTCCAGTTTGGTGTTTTCATGGGCATCCTGAGTTTGTGAATGAGTGAGTCTGTTTCTTGTGCCTTCTCTTTGTCTCTTTTCCTTCTGTTGGTTTGTCTTGTCCAACTCTGATGTAATAGCTTTAGTTTTATCTTATATTTTAGTTTGTTATGTTTTATTATTATACCCCAGAAGCCTGTTTCTGTTTAAATAAGAGACAGAAAGGGGGTGGACCCAGATGGGAGGACAGGTGGAGAGGGACTGGGAGGAGCAGAGGGAGGAGAAACCGTCATTAGGATACATTATATAAGAAAAGAACATATAAAGGGAACAATTTCAAACCGTTTTGAGAATTTCAAAAAGCAGCAGCCCGAAGAGGGTATACTTTGGAGTGTTTGTGCCTGGGGGCAGAACAGCAGGAAGAGCAGGAGAAGGAGAAAACGAGACCAACATAGACACAGTAGTCAATCCAGATGCTCGCGCGACGGCTGCGTTTTTAAACCTTTTAAAATATTACTATTGACAAGGCATACTCTTTCCACAAAGTGAAGGTCCCGCCGTGACGCAGTAACACTAAACAAAAACTTTGCCCTCACCCTCCAACCTCTGCTGTTTGGTGCTACGAAAGCTTATTTCTTGCTTGTGCCGTGACTCCATGTGTCCCCAGAGGGACTTTGCCCTGTGCGATCTTCCCGACACTTCACTTGGCGAAACCCGTCTCCAGTCTACCATCCCTGCTGCAAAGGTGCAATGAGAGCAGAACCTCCAATGGTGTGCTGCCACGTCATGCCATGCTTTATGGTGCGATCCCACCACTGTCCATTGGCCACCACTGTCCATTGGCCACCACTGTCCATTGGCCACCACTGTCCTGTGACTCAATCCAGCTGTGACAAGGAACAGAAAAGTGAGTCTTCCTGAAAACCCAAGAAAGAATGCAAAGGTTTTGTTGAACACAGGACCCTGTGGTTTGTTTGCTGATTTGTTAACAGTGAGGGCATCAGCTCTGAGGAGTTTAAAGTCCTTATTAATATGTAAAAGGGGACTAAATTACTGCTCATTAGTACTTGATTTTAAAATAGTCTTTTTCTTCTGAGATTATATCATTTTCCCCTCCCCTTTCCTCCCTCTGAACCTCCCCATTATCCCTTCTCGCTCTTTTTTGAATTCATGGCCTCTTTTTTCGTTGATTGATATTTAGAAGATATATTTCTCTTTATTTTTTAAATTACATGTACACATTTAGGTCTGTGCATGAGAGTATGTGCCCAAGGAGGCCAGGAGGGGGCATTAGATCTGTAGCTGAAAGCAGCCATTTGTGAGCCTCCTAGGATAGGGGCTGGAAGCTGAATTCTGGTCCTCTGCAAGAGCACACAAGCTCTTAAATGCTGAGCCATCTCACCAGCCCCCAATATGGATTTTATTATTATTATTTATTATTATATTATTTCTTCTCTTCTCTTTCTTCTTCTTCAGAGATGATTTATTTATTTTTATCGTTATGTAAGTGCGTTTCCCTGATACAGGAGCCCACAGAGGAGAGCGCATATTGCATCACATGGAACTGGAGTTCTGAGAAGTTGTGAGCAGATACAGGTTTTGAGAAGCAAACCTTTGTCCTCCACAAGAACAGTGAGCTACCTCTCTAGCCACTGTTAAGTTGTATTTTAAAAGCATAAAGCACACACATAGAGGTCAAAGGACAATTCTCAGGACTTGGTTCTTCTCTGCCTCGTTGTGTGATTCTGTGCCCAAATCAGGCTGCCAGTCCTTTGTGCAAATGTCTCGACCTGCTGAGCCGCCTTGCCAGCTTTCATTGAGCTCTTATTATATACTGTAGAATCTACAATGCTCATCCAATTCTCTCCTGAATGGGAGGTAGATTTTCTTATTATCCATCAGCCACAGAAGATAAAAGTAAGATTCAGTCGAGACCTTGGTGAGGGTGCTCTTATCACACCGTATTGTTTCTGTAACAACACTTGGGCTGACTTTGTCTTGACTCAGAGCAGGTGCTCTGCCCATCTGTGCATGATCTCAGGATGAACATGGAGTGATAAAATACCTACCTCCTACTCTCTTGGCATTTCCAACCAAGCATGGTAATGGCTCTGTTAAATCCAGAATGATATCCTTGTCATTTAGGCATGCTATTTTTTGGGGGGAGATAGGTAATATATTCCCATGGTTTAGTTTTTAAAAGATGAAAGAATCTGGAATGAAAAACCCACCAACCGTTTCTATCCCTCCCCACACATTTTTTAACACGAGGCGGTCCCTGTCTTGTTATTTATACACAAAGTCCACAGCCATCACGATAATTCTTTTCCAGAAGTTCAGTAGGACCTTCAAGCTGATGTTGAAATTAATACCTTAATTACTGACTTTGGTGTTTTGCTGGCAGTTGTATGATGGGCGCGGTCGATTGGAAGTTATAATTAAACAGACCAACTTAAAATAATATTCAGCTTTAATAAATAAAAGAGAGGAAACTTAAAAAACCAGGGTTCCAGCGATCCAGGAACATGGAGGGCAAAGAGGAAGAGGCAAGCACACCTGGATCTTTTATTTGTTTTGTGTGGCCCCAGGGGGGACACACCCTAAGCAGAATGTGATTGGCTGAAGTTCCCCATCAGTTGTAATTTGAGCATTGTGGTCAAGACAGAGACAGATAACATCCTCTTGGCCATGTCAGAATGAAGCTGATACTAAAACCTGAAAGTGTGGTCGGCGACATAAAATCCAGGAGTTCTTATTTTAGCCCTGCTTTTGTTTAGACCCTGGGCCTCTGTTTCTTAGAGCACAGCTGAAATGATGGCTAATATTTGTATTCATGGCAACATTGTCAGAAGGAAGAATAGACACAAACTCTGTGAACCTAGTTTAGATGATATTTTAAAGACAATCAT